ATATTTATATCGTTAGATACAGAGATGATGAAATGAACGAAGAATTTGATAGCAATAGATATACATATATAGAAAGATAAAAAAATAGCCAGAGAGAGGCTTGAAGCGGGACATGTGGAATGAACGCTATCTGAAATATGTGTATATGGTGAGCGCAACTACGAATCATTGATAAAAAAAGTACTTAACAAATTTCGCAGACAATAAAGATAACGCATATGTTCGATACAAGAAACTCAGTTATCGAGTATTCAACACCATCTTGTCATTGAAATATCTCTGCACGCTACAGGACTTCCTTTCACTCCGCACTGTTCCAATTCCCGATGGGCATTATAGGAGCGCGAAGCACTTGAAGATCGAATGGCTTCTCGAATGGCCGAAATTTGAGTAGCGGCTCCATACGAACCTCCTCCCTTGAAGTCAACAAAAGGCAAAAGCGCATGCGTAATTGATATAGACAACAAATTCTAATGCAATAAAAGAGCCAGCAATTGGATCAACATTTAGCTGTTCATATTGATAGTTGCCTCAACATTTTTTTTTTTTATTATTTCTTTCTATGCCTTTTTTATGAGCCGCCAAATGAAACCGCAAAAAATTGCTTATCGCACAGTCGCTCATTACATAGAGTTCAATTTTTGAAGGCCTCTAGATGCCTATTCGATTTCTTTTGCCTTTCACGTGACGCTGTGCATATATATGTATTTGTGTGTGTGAGTGTGTGTGTGCCTTTTCATTCATTATTAATCACATTTTGATCGCCTTAGCATTGGGACAAGTGAAGGCGTCAATTGGCTGCCGTCTTGCCGTCCAAGTCCGTCAAACACTTTCACACAACTTTTATCAAAAAGCTGACATCAGCGAATGGCCATTATCCATGCCATATTTTTCGCTGCTGTTGTGGTCAGCTTGTCGGGCAATAAAAGGGGGATACACCGCCTACAGGTGAAGTTCAGGCATTATTAATTAATTAAAAAAAAAAACCTACTCAAGTCTCCAGCTGTCGCTGTTGGCCGTGACCCCTAGCTGGCTTTTGTTTCCAATTGAATTTTCACAATTTTCCCATTGAAAAATTAGAGAGAGAAAAAAGACAACAACGAAAACAATCGCTGTTCACGTTAGCAGCGCCTGGCCTTTATTTAATTCGAGCCCAGTTTTCCAGTTGGTTATGAAAATTTGATCAGGTTTGCCGCCAAAGCGAGCAAAGCATGCAAATCAGCCAGCCGTAGACGCTCACACAGCCATTCACCAATACACTCACGAGCACTCGTGAGTACTCACACCAGCAGCACTCATGCACACTTATTACGCTGCAGCTACTCATTCACTCAAATATGATTAGGTTCTACTCTCTCTATCTCTGTCTCTCTCTCGCTCTCTCTCTCTCGTTTTGTTTTTTATGCTTCGACAGCTTCTGGGCTCGAGTCTGAGCTTCGGTTCGATGAAATGAGGAAACATTAGGGCTCGGTGGAAAGTGTTGCTAAAGCTAATGTGCTTAGAGAACGAACAGTTTATCAAATGTAGGTTGCACTCGGCTGGGATAAGCTGAAATAATTTGCCACATTACTGTCTCGTAGAGCTCGGGTGAACAAGTTTTAATTTAGTAATCAAGATGTTGCAGTAAAAGAAAACTTATGGAGTTGCATCAAAAAAGAAAGAACAAGAATACATTGAATTCTTAGAATTGTCTATATAGACAATATGTCTATAAGGTATCTTTAATTCATATTGCGATGCTAAATGGGTTAAGCTTGGGTTATACTTCCTCTAGATTTTCTTCGCCTTTCCATTGCAACTTAATCACATAAATTGCTTTATTGATTTGCTCTGCTCACATCAATTACCATTTAAAGTTCACGGTTAGACTAGATCTATTCGGTTGCCCAGGGGGCAAGCACTTTGCCAATTGCATTCGCCTAGTTTATGCCCCGTCCGTCGCCTGGCAATTGTTTAAAGTTATTGACAAAACAGTTTGTGATTTATTGCCATAATAGATTTGTATCGCTAACGTGTGGGAGCTGTCAATTTCATGATTGCATCGCATCGTATTGTTCTATGCTGTTTTTGCATACTGCAATTGCCAATTGTGATGTCGGGCGAAGGCCTATCAAAACAAATGCTAAATGCTGAATGCTAAAAATTCGAATTTCTAATTTGAGGCGTTGACAGGTCGTCAAGTTCGATGGCTTGGCATATGGCTATATATATATATATCAGTGCCATATGGACACTTTGAAGTGAATGAAAAGTGTTTAAAAATAGTCATTTCTGAGTGCATGTCAGCCGTACTATTTCCGCCGGAATCTTCTAGGAATCGTTTTGTTTATAAGCATTTCTCTCGCTCTGCTTTGGGGGCATATGAATCACATACGCTAATTATAAACAATGGATAGAGCCTCGCGATATATGACGTACTTCAACTAATACGAGACCTTGGCAAACAAGCACACGAAATGTGGCATCAGATAAAAGTGAGCTAAACTGGCCTAAGTAGGGGTATACTGGACTCTAAGATACTCTATTATTTTAGTGAATTTGACATAAATTGATGTAAGAAGAGAGAAACATAATAAGGTAGAGGACAGAATATCATGAAAGAGCGGATAAGTGAGAAGAAGTGAAAAGAGTGCAGAATAGAGAAGAAGACAGAAGAGAGAAGACTACTGCAGAGCACGAGAGATTGGAAAAGAGATGAAAAATGAGCAGAACTGAAAAGAAAATATCTGAAAAGAGACGAGAAGAGAATCAGGAGATACGTGAAAGGAGGGAAAAGAATAGAGTTTAAGAGTATAGAACTGAGAATTGCTGATGGAAAATGAAAGAAGAGAATTTAACAAAGGCAGACACATCAAAGTAAAGACCTAGAGAAGAAGAAAATGAAAGACACAAATCGAAAGGAAATAGATAAACTAAATAGAAATATTATATAAATCTGTATCCAACTTGCTTCTATAGATTGTTGTGAATTTGTCTAATTTTATATAAAATTACAACAATTATGCTTCTACTATACACTATTTTACTTAACACATTTTGTACGATTTAACATGTTATTAAAAATCTGTTAAATATGATATTTTTATCTTTTTGCTTTCAGTAAACGACACAAAATTACAGCTAGCAAAATAGAGGTTTCTTCTATTGTTTCCTTATATTTTACTTTTAACAACCGCAAATGTTGCTGGTCGTAAATTTGGCAATTTAAGGTGAGTTTGGTTTGGTTGCGTGTTGATTTTTGATTAATTATTATTATTATTTTTTTTTTTTTTGTTCGACATACATATGTATATAAATGTGAGTTGTTTCTTCGTAGAAGCAACTAAAATAAATTTGTCTAGAGATTCATAAGCAAGCTTAACTGATTTTTAATTTCATTGTATTTAAATTCAATATCTATTGAAAATCGAAAAAAAAAAAAACGATAGTAATATAAATTTGAGTGGCCATTAAAAATTATAGATCTATGCATGTATAATATGTATACGCTACGGATGAGTGAAGTTAGATACTTTCTGTATTTACAACTTAATGTGTTGTATATTTTATTGAATAATTATGTCGTATACTTGTTCTCATTAGCTTTTGCCTAAGCAAAATCATCTTAGTTAGCTAAACTGCTCAGTTCCAATAAATGATTTTTAGAGAGTTACGAAAACTACAGCTAGAATCGTAAAAATTTCATTTGTTGTTAAAATCACGTGCACAAAATTCGAATATATATAAGATGAGTTTTATTTTATAGTCGTCAAGCTAACATGGGATACATATGTATATGGGATATATATATATATATGGGATATATATATATATATGGGATATATCTATGGGAATATATATGGGATATATCTATGGGATATATATATATAGGATAGACATATGGGATATATAGATATGGGATAAACATATTGGATATATATATATGGGATATATCTATGCGATATGATAGATTGCCTGAGCTCATCATGGTAATTAGTTTTATATTTACATTTACATCGCATTCAAGGGTATCAAAATGACGAAAGCAATGAAAATTCGAGCGATTACCCTTCTATGGTATGTAAAATGAGTATTAACCGTACTCAAGTTGCGCTGCAAATTATTGATTCACTGGCTTATAAATAATAGATAGCAATAGTTCAAATTTCTAGATATGTGTATACATATATCTAAACAGTTATATAAGCTCTGTGCACAACGTTAGGCAAGGTCACCAAACGTTGCAGTGTTGCATACAGTTTGGTGTCGATTTCACAGTTTGACCTGCTGCAGCTGCTGTTGCATGCAATTGATAAGCCGTTGCAGTTGACTGATTGCTTTGCTGTGTGTCAGCCGCATCGTCTGGCTGCTGACATTTGACTGTTATCAATCTGGGCTCGATTGTCAGCCGCTGTGGCCTTTTGCGGGCTTTCGTCGCCCGATTGCAATTAGTGAAATGCTGCGACGCTCTCTGTTGGTCGCTTGCCAGAGGCACGAGGTGCAAAGTTTATTGGGCCAATAATACATCGAACGAAAATAAATAGATATCGAAACTGGCCACAGCGAAGCGCAACAAATGACAAATACTATTTTTAATCGCTCACTGCCATCAGCGAAAGTTTTTCAGTTCAATTCGATTTGATGACATTTAAATCGATTTAGTTAGTATAGAGCCAGAGCAAGCCTTGGGCGGCAAGAATAAGCAAAAACTTTATTTAGTCGGCAAATGAAAATTATATTTATTTATGCCACTCGCTCTTCAAGACAGTAAACAAAGGCAAATGCCATTTGAAAATGAATCAAAAACTTTCCTCGCAAGTGAAAATTTGAGATGCCGTGTTGAGTTCCTCAATGTTGAAT